TCTAGAGTTTTCTCTCCTCTCTGGAGACAGGTACTTGTACGATGAAATGTGAAGTCACCTTGCTGCGGGTGACAGTACCCCTGGAGGATAGAATGGAACAGGCCTTATTCACTCCCCCATTATCAAAACAACGTGTTGAATATGCATTGCAGCACATTAGAGAATCTTGTGCTGCCTCTTTGGTATAGGCCTTTTCAAATGATTTTGCTGTCTTTTTAGATGATAAAAAGACTTGATTCTGATCTTTATCCCATCACAGGTTGATTTTGGATGTGGTTCTGGAAGTCTCCTGGAGTCTTTATTAGCTTATCAAACCTCTCTTGAGAAAATAGTAGGCGTTGATATTTCACAGAAAGCTCTTGCTCGTGCTGCCAAGGTCTGATGCACTCACAGCCTTTTTATACTGCTTTCCAACTTTCACAATCTCTCTCAGTAATTGTCCTTCAGTTTCTTCTTTTCTTTCTACTGCATTTCTTTTTCTTAGTAATGGTAATAAGAGCTTGTGCATTCTCTAACTTAACTATGTAAGTTGAAAACTGAACTGTGATTCGAGCGAGTGAGAAAAATCAGGATCTGCAATGTGTGCCAATCCAATATTTAGATATTATCCTGTATCGTCAGCTAGATCTAGTTTTGCCTATGCTTTCAGTGTGACATTATCCATCTCATAGGTAATGACAGTATTTTCGGATTGCGAAAGCTAGAGAGATGTTTCCTTATTCAGGAAAAAATTTAACATTCCAGATCAGAAGAATCTAATTTTTTTAAAACTCTCTAGTTTTATTATCAATTGTTAGATAAATAAATTGGATAAAGTAGGTTCTTCATATTAGCTTGACGTTGCTGAAATGAGAATGTCATTGCATTAAATGTAAAAACAGTAAAAGAAAGAAAAAAGGCTGATAAACAAAGAGATATAAGTAATAGCTGAAGTAGCTCCAGCACCAACAAAGATAAAAATAAAAATAAAAATAGAAAAAGAGAAAGAAAGATGGTCCAGATGGTTATATGCCCATTAGAAGGTTTAAGATTTACTTATTGGGAAGGCTGGTAGCATAATCATCACTTGGGAAGTCAAGGGAATTCACAAATGATTTAAAAAATTGTAAATTGAATACATAACAAATATGATTTTCTGATTATGATTGTTGAATTGAAGCTAATTTGAGTTCAGATGACTATTTGAAGGTTACTAAAAAAAAGAAGGNGGAACTATGGTATTGGACTATCATGAGAAATCCAAAAAAAAAAAAGTAGTTTCTGCTGAAAAAGAAGAAACTTTTTCTCGTTTATCCCTTTCTTTGAGGATGGCAAGCAACTTTGAAGCTTCAGGAATATAGCAACATGAGCTTTTTTTCTTAGACATTCTGAACTAGTAAACTAATGAGGTCAAATATGTTAGTTCAAGATGCTAAGAGATTTCTGATTAGCATAGTTCACTTTTTCTTTCTGTTGCATTGACGGAGTATAGTTCTAAACATTTAATGTCTGCCACATGTGTTGCTGGTGCCAAATTATAATTTTAACTTTTCTTATTTATGCGTTCACTAAGAGTCTTCTTAATTTCCAGATACTTCATTCAAAGCTCAATGGAAATATAGAAGCTAAACAACTGACTAACAGAATCAAGTCTGCAATACTATATGAGGGTTCGATTTTGACTTGTGATTCTCGGTTATGTGGGTATGACATTGCAACCTGCTTGGAGGTAATTGGTTCCTCTTCTAGTGATGGTTACACAGCTTTCCGGATTTAAAATTGAGCTTTAGGACACTTAGTTTCATGAAGTACTTGCGTAAAAATGCTTGTGTACCTTATATCCATGCCAAAAATGAGGTCTATGGCTGGTTATATCATTCTTTTTTATTGAAGCAGTTGAGCACAGTGGCAGAACCAGGATTTTTACCAAGGGGATTCGGAATATTAAAAAGTACACACACGAACAAGCCAAGGGGATTCAACATCTACTATTTATGCATAAAAACAATTTTAACCTTATATATATAGTGTAATTTTCCGGCGAAAGGAGTTTAGGGATGAAGCCCCTTCCGCCACTA